CGTGACCAAGAAGCAAGTTGAGGAAGAAAGGGTTTAGTTAGCTTACAAAATCCACAATGCTGTTCAACATTAGAGGAAGTCAAGAAAGGAGTTCAGCAGGGCAGGAACCTGGAGGCAGGAGCTGATTGCAAATACCGTGAAGGGGGTGCTGCTTACTGGCTTGCTTTATTATATGGCTTGTGTCCTTAGTAGAACCCAGGACTACCAGCCCAGGGGTGGTACCACCCACCATGGGCTAGGCTCACCCTCATTGATCACTAATTGAGAAAATGCCCCACAGCTGGATCTCAGGGAGGCATTTCTTCAACTGAGGCTCTTTCCTCTCAGATGAGTCTAGCTTGTGTCAAGTTGACACACAACACCAGCCAGTACAGAGTCTATCATCAGTAAAAGTTAGGGCAGACGCTCAAGGCAGGAACCTGGAGAGAGGAGCAGAAGTGGAGTCGCAGTGGAACTTTGCTCGCTGGCTTTTCTCAGAGTAAAATGGGGTTGTTCTATTTGCTTTCTTGTGCAATTCAGGACCACCTGCCTGGGGTGCCATTGTCTATAGTGGGCTGGGTCAATTATTAATCAAGAAAATGTCCCCGCAGACTTGCCTACAGGCCCATTTGATGAAGTCAATTTCACAATTGACATCCCTCTTTCCCAGATGACTTTAGCTTGTGTCAAGTTAACAGCAGCAGCAGCAGCAGCAACAACAACAGCAGCAAACTGACGAGCATGACATACACAACCCACCCCCATACACTGATGCTGACAGATTCTGTGACTCTCATATACCCCTAACCAATCTGTCTCATCAGTATCCATATTGCACTGAGAAATCGCAAAGTTTTACCACATTACGATGGCTAAAGTAATGGGGCTGATGTAATTTACAAGTCAAGTCCTAGTCGGAGCAGGTTACATCACAGAACTGTTTTGTACAGGTTTGTCATCCAGACACCTGAAGAAACTTTGAAAGGCAACATGCCAGCTTTCTTTCTTGCGCTCGCATATTCTGCCTTTGATCTTTTGGGATGTATAACAACTCGCTTATTGTTTACCCATATCTTATTCAGAAAGGAACAGAATAAAATTTCCAAGGGAAGTTGCACTGTTGGACCTGAACGCCATGTCTCATAGAGTATCTTCGGACACAGTGGAAGCTTAGATAAAGCTTGTTTTATGTGAAAGGTAAACTTTCCGTACTTGACTTTTCTCCCCTGGATGTTTTTGCTGACAAAAGATCTCCCCTGCTTTTGAAACATTCATTTGACCAAGGGGCTACATTTTAGTCCCCAAAGCTTAACCATCTACTTCTTTACACGTTAGGTGTACACATATGATACCTATGGATAAAGACCTACACATATGATGTCGTCGTATGAAAAAAAAAGCTTAATTAAAAACTAGGTTTGTGTAAAAAATAATATAAAATAAATGCTTGCAGAAAGGACATTTGTAGACTATTTCAGTTACCTAGAATTTCTGAACATTTATTTTCTTAGATGTAGAGGTGCCTCCTAAGTATACTTTCCAAAATGTTTTATTGTCAGTTTTTCTCATTTACATGTAAACAATTACCTTAAAATATTTGTGTATTTTGCCTCACCAAAAAAAAAAAAAAGTTCAACTAAAAGGTCAAGTTCCTGGTCTAGTGCCTTTTACACATATATTAAGACTTAAACCTTTCTTTGGGAAATAAAATGAAACAACTTTTCACCTTTTGTTCAACCTTAAGAAGATTCCAGACTTGCTGACGTTACTCATGTTTGCAGAGCTTGTGCCTTGCCATTGTTACCCTCCGTTTTTTCAAGGACTTTCGTTCCAAAATTTAGCCTTTTTCAAACTTAATCTGAGATGCTAAAAATCCTTTAAGAATTTCAGCCAATTGCATCTTTGGCAACTAAATCATATTTTACCTTGTCTGTGTTTCTACCTTACACAGGAAACCAACAAATCACTACTGTCTCTTCAAAATGCAAGTAATTTTCATTTGCAGACCTGAGACCTACTGCCAAAGGGAACCCATGGGAGAAACCATTCAGTTGTCCCAATGAGCGACATCTGACTGTGTTATCTTACTCATGGGAGAAAGCATCCAGTTTTTCCCAATGAGTGTCATCCGACTGTGTTGTCTTGCCATAAAACACTTACACAAATTTAGCATCGGTGTGTTAACTTCTCACATATTGTGAAGGGGTGACTAATGAAGCGAGCATCTTGACTTGCAGACAGATTCCACCTTTAATCTCCCATTTAGACAGAAAAAGGAAGAGCCTACTGGAATCTGAATCAAATGCTACATGACTCCACAACGGTTAGGGTAAGACATAGATACATCCAATAGGACATGTGCAAGTTCTTGGTGGGAACCAGAGGTAGAATGCACATAAGCTTTGAGTTATCTTACTCTCTTCTCATCTGCATCTCCTCCTTACAATCCTAATTACTATCAATTTTATTCTAAAGCAAGATTAAGGCATAGAAAGCCACATTAAGATCATGTGAAATGGTCATTGTTTTATTTGATGTTTTCTCTATAAAACAGTTAAGAGCATTGTATCAATTTTCTGTAGATTCATCACCCTGATAGGTTCTCCTAAGGCATCTTTCCAAATTCATAATTGAAGTAATATTTCTGGGGCTCTGAGATGACTCAGCTGATAAAGGTGCCTATGGCAATCGTGACAACCTCAGAGTTCAGTCCCCAGGTCACACATAGTGGAAGGAAAGAACACCAAGCTGGCCTCCAATTGCCACTCCAGTGCTGTGGCACATGCGTGTCCATATACAGACATGCACATAAAAGTTACAGAATGTAAAATAATAATAATGTCCATAAAAGAACCCCAGCAACTTGGCTTTTGTGTGTTATGTAGACTACATATATTATATAATATAAGTTTCTCCCTTTCTGTCTTTTTATTACATAAATTAAAATTCGATGAACAAATTTATTAACAGAATTTTGCCAAGAAAAATATGCTCATTAAATATAATTTGGTTCTTGATAAAAAAAAAAAAGAGAGAGAGAACTTGGACCTGATCTGCATGAAATGGCAGTGCAGGAGCGGGGTTCATTTGGCGAGCAAAAAGCTGGAGTAGGGCGGGTTCCTGGCATTGCTTCCTCAGCAAAGAGAACAATTTTAATCAGTTACAAAAATATTTGCCATCCATATGCTCCTCTCTGCTCACTCCCATATGCCCACATTCCCTTTTATCTTGGGAAAGATGATGACTTCATGATTCAGCCGTGTAAGAATAATACCTCACTGACTTTAGAGTTCAGTTCTATTTCAAAACATGTCCTGGTAATTACGCACACACAGAGATCCAGGCTGTTAGCACTTGGGTAGTTACGTGAATTTGAGTTTCTTCTGTCTTCTGGGGAATATATATATATATTTTTTTTCTTATATCCTCCTCCTAAAGCCAGGCTATGTATCTGAGGCTTTGACTTGAAACTTCATTGTCATTTGCCTTCTAGATTAAATGCTCCTGCGCAACTGTGAGGGCAAGAAAATGAGACAAAGACTTGTAAAAATTCACAATGACTTCATTCACCCTGGGAAAAGGAAAACAGTATGAAAAAGCACTTAGTAACTTTATCTAACTGGAGAGCTTATTCTTGCCGTGCAGGCTACATTGATCCTTTCTTATTTTTTTTTGTTTTATTTAATTAAAATTGGACATCTACCATGGTATCCATGGTACAAGGAGCCAGAATAGAAAAACAAAAATGACTGTCAATTCATGATCCGTTTTGTCTGAGATGTTTGCTTGTCTATCCCAATAGCTATGTGGTTTCCAACAAAAGGTGTACATTTTAAAACCAAGTTGTCCGTCAGCATGGAAGATGAATAAATCAGAAATTATTGCTAGGATTCATGGTTGTATTTTCAACAGTTGTTTTCCGCTGCACAACAAATGGTTTTGTAACTCAATATGCTATTAACAGAGCCACTGCCAAAGCCGAGAGGAATCAGCCATGCCCATCTAGGCTAGTAGGGAGAAGATGGCAAGGAGAAAAGGTTTCCAGCCTTTGGAGCAGTAGTTACATGTAGCTAGTGTTTTCCTGGGCAATAGGACCCAAGAGGTGTGTCTGCCGCTATCAGTGGCTGTACCCCCCACCCCCGGGAGTCTGAGAGTTTGGGTTTGCTTTTGGCAAACGCTATCAGGATCCCGACTCTGTTTGCATTCAAGCTGTCTGTGTGGCTGCTCCTGTAGGAGTTTTGAGAAAAGAAAGCGTACATTAGAGCGTGGATTGTTTGCAAGGGGCTTGGAGCTTGCCAATCTGTTGCTTGCTGCGACAGCGATTCTTTGCTGTCGCACGGAATGCTCTGCTGGCAGAGTTGTCCCGGCGGGGAAGGAAGGAGGGATGTGGAAAGATTGTTCACCGTGAAGCTGGGATATTAGGGATGCTTTGCACACTGTCTGCAAAGCGAAAGGTGTTCTTTCAGCTTTGCTAGTGTGGAAGTTTTCTGCTGTCTCCTCTCTCTTTCAAACTTTATAGACAAAGCCTCATTAAATCCAAACCTGTACATATACTGCGTGTAGGTATCTCTCACAAAAGACTCATAGACGTAGATTTAAAGCATATCCCATCCACCTATAGTTTGAACAAAGGCTTTGATTTAGAAATAAAAGAGACAAACCTTTGGCATGTAGGTGACTTTGATTCTTACTGAAGCAAACACACAAACTTGTGTGTGTGTTTTTAATACAAAGTGCGAGATTTCACTAAAAAAGGTTAAAATTGAAGTGAGTAATCTTCGGTGCATAATTCAGTTGTTAATTTTAGCTCCTTGCGTGGGTGCCGCTCTGACTTGAACAGCCGGCTGTAGCCTTCATTGGAGAAGAAGCCGGCAGCTTGGGACAGGTGGAGCTGGAGCAAGCTGGGAGCGAGATTTGCTGGAAGCTGGTCATTAGTGTTAGAAACCCAGTCTTACTTACTGTGTGCTTCTCTGGATGGCTACGACTGTTGCCAGGATGATTTACTGTTCTTCTTTTTTCAGGTTGTCGACCATGTGTCAAGCTGTGTAAGGAAACTGCCTGGAAATGGACATTCTGGACTGCTAATGGGGACATGGGACGGCAGTTACCTCTGATCACTTGCGTGGATTCTCCCGGAGCAGAACGACAGAAGCCGCCAGTCACTTGTCCAGATCTACAGCTGGAATTTTGTGCTGAAGGTAAAGCATTTGGGGGGGGGGGGTGCATCTCATCTGTATCTTACCGACACTCTTTCATGGCCATACCTGTCTGCAGAGACCAACCCTCAGAGTCAGGACCTGTCTGTCTGGGGTATTGGAGTTCAGTTTGCTTACTCTGTTTAATTGTTTGTTTTTGGTTTTGTTTTGTTTTAACTATAGCACTCTGAAAACTAAGTTAGGGCAACAGAAGTTCTTTGCCTCCTGACCCTACCCCCTGCTGAGAGAAAGCAAACTACAAGAATAAAACTTTTGTTTTCTAAGGATACAGCTGAGGTAGAAGATATTAGCCCAAATGCAGCAGATCTTAAACCCCCCCCAAATTTAAAAGCAGCAGATTCACTAACTCGAACTTCAGCCTCCTTCAGGAAAACTTTTCCTTCTATAATCCCACAATCCTCTGCCAAATAGGTCGGTGTACTTGTAAGATTTTGTTACAGGCCACCTGTCCTTGTCACGGTGGGGTTTAGTAAATCTGAAATCAAGTTGGTCGTGTTGTTGATTTGTTCCATGCTTGCTAGTTGTCGCAGAGAATAAAGTTACTAAACTAGTACCTGGTTAATGTTGCCGTGCTCACAGAGACAACGGACTACTACTCTGTCCAGTGCCACTGTAACGACCAGGATGGGACAGCAAACGGTGGGAAGCTTGTGAAAGAAAGAATATTCTAAGCTGCAGCTGCTCCAGTCCCACCCCTCTCTCTCATCTCCTTTCCTTTCTTCCTTCTCTGCCTCTGGGTTTTTCCTTTCTTTCCTCCCTCTGTCTTCTGTCTTCCCTCCCTTCATTTTCTCATACATGAACAGGAAACACATAAGTGAATGATAAAGTATCTGTGAGCATGTCAGAGGGAAAGAAGTGCCAGAGATTTTTAAGGAGGTGAAAAGGGGTGGGGGCAGGAACAATAACACGGAATCGAAGTCTAAAATGCCACTTCCTGTCTGTAGAGCCCTGTGCTTTGAGGGTGGAGTGGCAGGGGGCAGCAGCATCTATCCTTAGTACTGCCTGTCAGGCTGCTTCTTCAGAGCTCGCATTGGTGCAGCACAGGTACCTGGCTGGAAGCTATGGAGGGGCTGCTGCCACTACTGCTGCTGCTGCTGCCACCTCCGCTTTTGTTAGCTGTTAGTTGGAAGTCTGAATGTGCTGACCCTGGAAGGCTCAGGGCCAGATGTAGATCCCGTGTTTATACCAAATCATAACCTTTCCATCTGAATTTTGTCCCTGAACACAGTGCACGGTATTCCATGTTGCTGGGTGCTGGGGAGGTGTTTCCATGGTTGCAACTTAAAAATAATTTTCTGAATTACATCTGAAGTGTTGCCTGCCATCCGTAGGACCTCTCGACTCGGAAATTGGGGGGGGTCACCTGTTGAAGCACTGGAGAACTGTCACCATTTTTTCTTTTACTCTGTGGCAGAGTGTGGGTCCTAACATGGGTGGGAGCTATGTGTCTCAGCTAAGCCGAGTTGACTCATTTTGACAGAAGGTGTACGCACATGTGCTGATGTGTGCGTGGACGGGCTAAGGCTGAGGTGACGCACCTGCCTCCTGTGTGTGCATTTGCTGCTCGATGTTGTCTGGCTGTGTCCTCTGGAGTGTGTCAAGTCGTCGGTAGGGATGCCGGGCTGTGCCTCTGGAAGTGAATTCACAGGGGGGCATGAGAGAGCTCAAGAATAACTGGAAATCCTTCCCTGCAGTGATAATGTTTTCTGATACTGTAACCTTTTAGGGTCTAAAAACTCGTTTTAATTTGGATCTGGGAGAATGTCTGAGCAAGGAGAACTGCCCCCGACCATACTTGAAGAAGGGCAGACAGAGTCAGAGTCTGCCCCAGAAAATGGCATCCTTAAGTCGGAAAGTCTGGATGAGGAGGAGAAGCTGGAACTGCAGGTGAGCTATATGGATCTGTCCTTAGCCTCTCCACCTGTAGGATGTATTTGAGGCTGCATTAGGCATTTGATCCTTAAGGGATTAAGAGATCAGTGAAGGAATCATTCTCCAATTGTTTAGGTTTTTTTCTTTTTTTTCTTCTTTTTTTCTTTTTTTAATGATGCCATAAAATGCCTTTAGAAATGCATGATAAAATTATCCAAGGAGCATATTTAGTTACTGCATTTGTATACAGGAGCTCAGTACCCCTTGCTAGACCACCTCAAGCTGTGTGTGTAAGGACTTTCCAGAGGTGGCTTTAGGCTCTTAAAGTCTTGACACAGATTCCTTATTACATGGAAAGATGGAGACACAGCTCCTACATGCCAAAGCCATGTATTCTACTCTTCATACATAAGTTAAGGTTCAAATCTTATTTTCAGGCAAACTGAAGCTCAAGAGTCCCCAGATGAAGAGTCAGAACACTAAAACAGATTGGGGGAGGAAGTGGGACCTGAAAACAGCCGGGGGGAAGGAGGGGAGAGCCAGGATTAAATACACAGTGATTGCCAAGGAAAAAAAGATGTTGGTCCAGGGAAGGCAAACTGAGCTTGTAAATGCTATAGATTTTCCTTGAACCAATTCACAAATGTATTAGCCTTTTCCATGAGCCAACCTAATCAAAAGCCAATGACCACATAGTGATCAGAAGCTTTCCAGATTGTTTCTTCTCTCCTGTGTTTGCTAGGAGTACAAAGGACTAAAAGTGACAGTATGGAATAATTGGGACTTAGGCCAGGAGGGTGTCCTTCCTAGTGGTCACAGTATTTTTGCTTCCACCGGGGTTATCTCCATTATCAATGATAATGATGTCTTCCCCTTTGATTTTCTCTCCCCATCCCATTCTGTCTTTCTATCTCTTTCTGGTTTACTGGTTTTTGTTTTATTTTGTTTGTTTTGTTTTTGTTTCTGTTTCTATTTCTGTTTCTGCTTCAACCACGCAGCGGCGACTGGCGGCTCAGAACCAAGAGAGGAGAAAATCCAAGGTAAGGCTCTTCAGGGGAGTCAGCACCACAGTTATAATAAATGGCACATTTCCCATCAGAGCTGAAGATGTGCCCATATCTCAGAGGCTGGGATGGGTCCTGGCTGTCCTGTTACAAGTTGGCTGTCATGCTCACCTTCTGTCCTCATGGGGATGCTTCTTGCTCAGAATCTGAACATCCTCAAGAGTTCCTATTTACAGTAGGAGGTTCAGCGGTGCTTTACCCAATCCACATCCATGGGAAGTTTTCTCTTGTTGTTGGCTAAAATTTAGAGCAGACAGTTCAGTCTTTCAAGTGATCTGTACCTGAAAATAAATGGACAAGGTTGGTCGGTGCTTGGAACACCTCCTTAGGCAAATCTTCTCCTAATTTAGTTTTAATGAAAATTTGTCCTGTCAAGTGTTTCTTGTGATATTTTCAAGAAATGACATTCACTCACCTTTCATGCATGAGTCAAAATCGTTAAGAACTGTTGGTGTGAGTTGGTGTTTTTATCCTTGGCACTGGCTCCCTGATACTTCCCTTCACTCTTTGTACTCAGAACTGTGTAGCTCATTAGACACCGGACGGAGAAGTCTGACTTGAGAATATTCAGGCAAATGTGGTGGCCATGCTTTGACAGTCTGAGAATGTTTTCTGCTTTTTTCTCCCCCCCTCCTCCCCTTAATCTCAATCCCCAGTCAGGAGCAGGCAAAGGGAAGCTGACCAGAAGTCTCGCTGTCTGTGAAGAGTCTGCTAGACCTGGAGGGGAAAGTCACCAGGATCAGGTATAAAAGCTGCTATTAGACGGGATTGCATGACTACATCTCTGTGCATGATCAGGTATAAACCTGGAATTAGACAGGATTGCATGACTAGATTTCTGTGTGCATGGCCAACCACTAATTTGACATTAAACGATGTTTTGCGGGAGAAAACAGGAATTGAAGAAAGAGCATTTTCTTGCTTCCTCCTGTTTATGAGACAATGCATAGTTTATAAGTTTGTGGCTGGGGACATAACAAGTAAACTGCTTGCTACACAAGCAGCTGGACCTGTGTTTAAACCTTGGAGCCCACTCAAAACCTGAACATGGTGCATATACTTGTAATCTCAGCACCGGGGAAATAAAGACAGACAGATTCCTGGGATCCAAGGGCCAGCCAGCTCAAGGCCTAACCAGTGAGCCCCAGGTCCCTGGGAGAGACTGTCTCAAAAATAAATGAATGAATGAATGAATGAATAAATAAATAAATAAATAAATAAATAAAATGGCAGATAGCAACCGAGGAGCAACACCTGAGACTGACGTCTGACTCCACATGCACAGACACTTGTACTCCCAGATGTACCTCCCACAAATATGCAAATAACCCCCCACACACATACACCCCCCACACCCCCTCATATCCCCCACAACTATTTTAAATGTATATCACAGGATATTGCATTTGTTTTCTTCCAGACTCTCTGAAAACTGCAAATGGAAAGGAACTCAAATGAATTTAGATTAAGATTTAATTTTAAAAAATAAAATAAAATCCAGTAAGCACGGTAGTGCTGGATGTCCACCAAGGCTCTCTCTTGATAAGGCTGAACCAAATACACCCTCAGCATCCTGTCTTTATGGAGACAGCTTACCTCTCAGCTCCCCAAATGAACTTGCCTATAAATAAAACACCACTGTTGGCTCCTAGAAGATGTAAGAAGTAGTGTCTAAGCACCCTGAACTGTGGAGAAATGCAGTTATGGCCTTCGGGAGGGTTTTTTCTTTTTTCTTTTTCTTTTCTTTTTTTTTTTTTTTTTTTGACTACTGCAAAAAAAGGTCCAGGAAAAGCATCTGAACTGGTGGCGAATTTGATACTAAGCAGCTGCTACACATCTTCCACATCTCCATTCATATCTTTGATCCCCAAAACGTAAAATTCCAGGGCCCTTCACATCCTCTTTGTTACTACTTTTTTCTTTTTAACTACTATATTTATTTGCTTATGAAAAAAAAAACATAGCCTTGATGCTGAAATTTTGCTTATTTTTCTCAGAGGGCAAAAGCAGCCAAGACAGAAGGCAAATGATCTATCTGAGCCCCAGGGAAAGAAAATTGATTACAAAATCATTAATTTTTGTTTGGATTTCTTTGGCTTCTCATTCATCTCCCCTCTCCCCCTTTCCACTTTAATAGCAATCCTCTAAAGTCTTTTTATGGGCACAGAGAACACGAGAGCACTTTCTTTAGAAGGAACCAAAAATAAATAAATAAATTCCTTATAGATTTTTGTTCTTAGAGTGTTTTCTTCACTAGTCTCATTTTCTTCACATGCCCTTCATGTGAGAAGACACAGACAAGCTATTCTTCATTCAGTAGCCATTACTGTGTGTCATAGATAAACCCTTACCCTTTTTCTTTTTAAACTCGGGCTCTGAGAAACGTGTGGCTTTCCTTCAGCATTTTCCATGTGCTTCTCTTTTTAACGGAGATGGAGAAGGTAGACCGATGTGAATCCCATACCTTGTACTAGCAATGTGAACGGCTGGTTTGTGATGTTACAGCATCTGACTTGTGTGAAACCCTGTAGATTGCCAGGCTCTGGGAGAAGTAAGAGCCCAGTTGTTTCTCACTCTTAGTGCCAGGCAGAGGCCAGGCTCTGTGGATTCCATCTGCTCTTTGTCTCTTTTGACAAGGCACAGGAGTTTTGGTAAGAGTCATCTGTATCATAGCACCCATTTCAGAGGCAGGCCTAGTGGTACCCCCACACAGTGGGTGCAAATGGTGCTTTGTTCCTGCTGGTTCTGAACCCAGAAAGCAGGATTCATGTTGGAGCAGAGAATTAGGCCCCTCAAGCTTTCTGTGAACTAGCCAAAGAGTGGTGGGAATAGGGAGTTGGCAGAAAAACCAACAGACATACACACATATATTTAAGCAAGTCACCCGATCTTAGAATTTATACGCAATGCCTTCACTAGAAAACACTGAACACTTAGAAAATGTGTGGACTGACTCCCAGAGAAGTATACAGTACATGGAATTTATTGCTTCCCCCATGTTTGTATATTCACAGTATTTGGAAAACTGCCTTTATTTTCCTGTGTGGGAAAAGCTCTCTTGTTCCCTGTGTTACTTGATCTCAGACCCACACCTGATGGTTCAGTCTGTCTTTGAGTAAAGGAAGCGTGTTTTTTCTAATGTTATAATATTTACTGACCAGTGTGTTACTGCAACTTGAATCATTCTTTTACTGTTGTTGGGTATAAACTTATCCTGTACCAATGTATTTATTAACACTTGTATTTTAATATTGAGCGTATCAATAAAAAATATTTAAAAATAACAGATTGTTTTTTACCAATTCTACAGCACTTTTTTGTGTATTCTTTCTACACCATATTGTATATTTATGTGTAGAAATATGGTTTTTTTTAACCTGAGTACAGTATCTGTCAATACACAGCAACAATTTGTACATTTGTCTACAGTGGATATCTTTGGCTTCTGATTTTGTGTATAGGAATTATTGCCAACGTGATGACTTTTTTAGATTCCAACTTAGAGAAGGCTGGAGAGTTCTTACAGTTTTGAAGAACAAATGGGATCATTCTCTCATGATCCACATGCCCACAGCTTCTCTATGAGTCTACTGATGGCCTGGTTGTTCCTCAGACACATCTCAGCTGGGAAATGGCCTAGGAATTTTCTGAGAAAGTAAAAGCAACCTCCCAACCCTAGCTCCTCCTTGAACCCCCACTGACTGCAACAGTTCTCTGTCCCTAATCATGTGAAGAATGACTACAGTAGAACTTGTTTTATTTGCATAACTTGTAAATGTCCACCCCTACCTCCCAAATAACCTTCCGGGAGTCGGAAAACCCAGCTTAGTTAATAAACTATGATGACAGTCTTCCGTAGGGTGGAAGTTGAAGATCTTTTTTGTTTTTTTTAGTTTTCTCTCAGCACCATGGCAACTTCCCTTCAGCTTTCATTTCTCATAGGGGTCTCTCCTCATTGGAAACATGCCCAACCCCCTGCCCAACACCATGAAGCAGTGTCATTGAGTGCTCTCTCGTATACCACACACACAAAGCCAGCCGCAACTTCCCTGAGCCATCACGACTCCAACCGGCATATACCTTGCAGAAACTAAAAAAATCCAAACAGAACATCATGTGGTGCATTCTGCTCCAAAGAAGCAAATGTGCAACTAAAGTAATGGCTGTGGCTACTGAGTGTCAATCAAAATAAGCAGATCAGTTTCCAGAAAAAAAAAAAGGTAAATGTAGACATAGTTCAACACTGAGCTCTGTACCAAGAAGCAGCTCAGGAGAATCTGTTTGGAGAAGAATTAACTACATTTGCCCAAACATAGATTTATAGATAGCTTATGAAAACATAGCAGGACTCACCACATTTTCCAAAAGGCAATGCCTTTTTGTGACTGATTTATAATATTAATGACATTCATATGTAAGCCCTGTGACCCCAGATCTAAGAGTCCAGTGTTGCAGGGTTCAATCTCCCATGTGTGGGATATCCTTCTTTGCCTGGTTCCATGGTAGGATTTCTACTGTAAATTGGCTGTTGGGTGCTTTTATTTTTCTCTCAGTTCTAACTGTAATTCTGACTCCTGGGACCTGTCTGTGTGCACGTTTCTCCTTATAAGGAGCACTGGAAGAGAATTGGAGAGGCCTTTTTTTAGACATGACAGTGTCTCCAATGTGAGGACATTAAAGGGTCCCCCCACACACCCTACACATTTAAAAATAAACCTGTAGAGAAAAAAATAAGAGTTGTGATCTACAGGAGTTTAGCTTGATTAAAGTTAATATTCATGAGGCAAAGTTTAATACTAGATGTGTCTTCTGACCTCCCATTGACTTCTGGATTTCAGTTCACCGTAAAGGGCAAGTATTCTTTTGTTCCTGACAGGCCTAATTTTTTTTTAACCACTTAAGAAATAGGAATCCATACCGACCTCTCATTTTTCAATACCTAGTAACCTCTGTGCGAAATGGAAACCAGGCAGAGATGATGACTTCTGGCCCTAAATTATTATATTTTTTTCCCCAACAGGAATCAATTCACTTACAGCTTTCCAGTTTCCCCAGCCTGCAAGAGGAGGATAAATCTAGGAAGGATGATTCTGAGAGAGAAAAAGAAAAGGATAAGAACAGAGAGAAACTCTCTGAGAGACCCAAGATCAGAATGTTATCAAAAGGTGAATCTGAGAAACCTTTCCTTACCTTGCTTAACGTGGGCGCATGCATAGCCAGGAGACATTGCAAACCGACACCAGTCTTTACAGCCCAGGGCACTCTGTATCGAATTTTCCACGTGGCCCTGTATGTGTAAAAGAAAAAAAAATAGCGACCTTGACTTTCTTTTTTGTTCCTGCACCCTTATTTGTATAGCTAGAGAGGTTATTTTTAGAATCACTTATTTCTTTGAATTCCCATTTGAATCTCCTGTTCTCAGTGACAAGCTGGGGAGAAAGGGGGAATTGAAATCGGTTCTTGCATTCATGTTCATTGACAACTGACTTGGATTGGTGAACAATGGTGATACACAGCTTTCTATTTTAGCTCTCACCCTTATCTTAAAAGACAGGCAGCAAGGGCCTTAGCACTTCCTCGTAATAAGCCACATTGGGGTGGAGGTCAGTAGAAGCCCTGGCACCTAGGGCTTCGGTCTCTGCATCCGATCACCGCTGCATGTTGTTTCATTTGAAAATAAAAATCATATTTCTATTTTGAAAAGAGCCATTCTTCCTAAAAGCTATAGCCATACAATCCAGAACTTTTAAACTATGGATGTCCCACTGATTGGACAAAGTAGGAAGAAGCAAAGCTGGAATGGAGAGTTATGCTAGAGACCACACTGGAATCCCAGCATTCTAGGGATGGTAGCCACTCTTAATGTTTATCCTCTGCGAACATACTTCTGCTTGGAACAGTCAGCTTCTGTCTGATGAAACCCTCAAGCTTGAGGTGTATAAGAAAGTGCTTAACATTTCTAAAATGGCTGTGTAAACCTGAGTTTATCCAGGACCAGGAGATCAGAGCGACTTGAGAACACTTGTCTCTTGTCATGTTTTATACTGATTCATATTTAGATAGTTTTATAACAGAACCTTCATTTTTTAAACTGTTCTGTTTTAATAATTAAAAAAAAAAAGGTTGTCATGGGATCACAAGCTCTTGAGGTCTCTGTGGGTTGGGATGTAACTGTCATGTGGAGGCAGTACCCCACTGACTTTCAGCATAGAACACATTCCAGCAGCAGCAGAAAGCACACTTCCCCTCTTCTGTCACCAGGATCTTCCCACAGTCAAAGTCTCAACCCTTATTTCTGATGTTACGATCCTTGCGTGCAAGTATTTTCACCCTCGTAACTTCCTTTGAAGTTTATCTGAGCTGGAAGGAAACCAGAACGTTTTCAAACCCTGTCCTACCCTGTCTTCCCATCGTCCATCCTGGCAACTCAACTCCATCTTGCTGTTTGTTTCAGATTGCAGCCAAGAATATACAGATTCTACAGGAATAGACTTACATGAGTTTCTAATTAACACACTGAAGAACAATTCCAGGTAAATTTAAATTGTGAAACAAGCCTTTTGGTGGTCTTAGGGGGTGGGGAGGCTCAGATAAAATATTACAAAATGATTAGTCAGAATACTTCTAAGAAATTAAGTATAAAAACTAGATGGCTTCCTTGATGTCTCTCCTGAACTTGTTCTTCTCTGTTGATAGTTTGTATCTCCTTGTGGATGGCGAGTCCTAATAGTTACACAGTTGCTCATTGTGTGAGTTAGAGTATATCAACTGCTTTGCTAACCCCAAGGACATATTGAAGTAAAAATGAGAGAATGAAATGATCTTTATAATATCAGTCCATGAGTGCCTGGGTACGGGCACATAGCCATGTGTACTCAGTACTCCAACTTGGCTTCTTTCCAGTTTCTTTCTACTTCAAGTCTTTGTTGGTTGTATTTTTATCATTCAAAAGTTTACATGTTATGATTATCATTCAAATGATGACATTTAACACCTCCAAACACTTAACAAGTGAAAGGAAAATGAAACTTCTGAGTTCAAAGTCATGGCCTGCAAAGCAAGGAGTCAACGTAGTCCAAAGACAAATTAGCGTTATGTCTGCTCTGTGTCCCTGTTGAGTTTGATAAACTGTATTTGCTCTTTGGAAACTACAAGTGCATGAAACTTTTCCTTTGAACATTTATTTTACAGGGACAGGATGATACTCTTGAAAATGGAACAGGAAATGATTGATTTCATTGCTGACAGCAAGTATGTTCAATGGCCATGCTAGCTAATTCGATGACATGTCTTAGCTCAGCGTCTGAGTTAATGACTCATTCCACAGAGTGCTGTAGATAGATAAAATGTCAGTTCATATGGTTCTTGGTATGTTCAATGGAGAAGTCATTGGATTTTGGAATGGTCATTGCTTGGATCATATGTGATCTTTCCTGTTAAGCGCCTGGCAAAATAGCCATAAATAGGCCCCCACTAATTTGCATTGAGGAGCTGTAACAAGAAGTGACCTTTTTCATTTTATGATCGTTTTTTTAATGGGCTCCAGCTGGCTGTAGTCAGTTATGCCTGGAAATAATTGTGCTGCATTTGATGTAAACTGGGTAATGACACATGTCCAGATAGATATCTGCAATCTCTATTATGTCATGGAGCCTGTCCCCTGCCTGCCTCTGTTGATAAGGTATCATGAACTAACCCAGAACACTTTGCAAGAGACAAAATGAACGAGTGGCTGCAAAGCAGCGATGCCTACTGCAGCTTGATCAATAAATCTATGATAGTAGAAATTTGTCTGTGAGAGAAGACATCAGGTGGTGTTGAAATAAAAGACACCAAGTGTTTCTGGATAAAAGGAGATAGTGGCGTGTAAATCCCTGTAAAATATACTACCAGCATGAAATTAAGATGCTGATTTTACTTCTCCTGTAACTCTGTTCCAGTAACCACTATAAAAAGTTCCCCCAGATGTCATCCTACCAGAGGATGCTGGTCCACCGGGTGGCAGCGTACTTCGGATTGGACCACAATGTGGATCAAACTGGAAAATCTGTCATCATCAACAAGACCAGCAGCACCAGAATGTAAGTCCCAACGTAGTGTCTGTTTACTGTTTGTTTTTCCTATCAGGGACTGGTTTGTAAGAGCACACTATTCATTTCGAAATATGCAACATTAAATATGTGCAGCCAGCGCTGGTTATCTTTCTGTCCTAGCAGCAGTGGGATGACAGGGATCCATATAAGACCAAATGAGAACCAGGGAAATTTGTAAACCCCAGGCAGTAAAATGAACTTGTTTCCATTATTTATTTGTCTGTTTGTTCGTTCATTTTTTTTTACAAGCTCATAATTTTATTCTTTCTATTAGCATTCCATGAAATTACACAGAAGATGGTGGGGGAGCTTCACTTCAAAATAGCATTCAGATAAAAACCACAGGCATTGGTCTGGGAGTGTAGCTTAGCGGTAGAGGACTTGGATGCCATACACAAAGTTTATCCCAGGGCAGCAAATGGATAAAGCCTAAATAAGCAAGCAAGCAAGCAAGCAAGCAAGCAAGCGAGCGAGCGAGCGAGCGAGCGAGCGATTAAGTAAACTCTTTGTGCAAAGATAGGCATGATGGTATATGCCTGTGCTCGAAGCACTCTGGAGACTGAGGCAGGAGGATCAGGAGTTTAAAATTAGCCCTATAGGGGATATTAAGGGAGGGTAGAGCAGGAAGGGATGGGCTAGGGGAGGAAGAATAGGTCAAGGATGGGGTTTATAAAGCAGGACACACAGAAAGATTTGTCCTTTTCTTTCCCTTCTTCTGATGCGGAGGAGACATGCACTTTGGGAAAAACTCAGAACAGGACACAGAAACCTTGCTTCACAGTCCTGGCATCCTGACTGGGCATCCCAGTCTGCTGCAGTCCTTATTTGCCATCTTTGTTTCTTCACCTGTGAGACAGAGGTCTGAGCTTGCCAGATATCTAAGTTTTAGCCCTAAGAAGACAATACTTGTTTCTTCTCAAGATAATCAATGTCTTTCATCTTAAAATCTTTTCCCTGTCCGAACTGAGTCATCAGGAGCACCCTTCTAGGAGACTTCTTTTGCCTTGACACCTGCAATTGTCTGCTTTGAACCCCTGTAGCTTTCAAATAGTGCTAAGGGAACGTCTTTAACAAAAAGGTGTGGCACCCTCAAAACCTGTAAATCATCATTAAGCAAATAATGTTCTTTCCTTTGGGGTGTTTGGTGATCACGTGGTCTTTGTGTCAGAATGTTAGTGCAGGCACTTTTGTGTTGAATGGAGCCTTCATGGTTAAAACAGGCTTTCTTTTCTGTTCACAGAAGATTACAGCAAGTGGGGTGGCCTCCAGATTCTCTATCTCCTGGGAGATCAGCCTGAGCTCAGCAGAGGAACAGAGACAGTTAGGGGGAGGAGCACCCAGTAAGAAGCCTAGCCCAAGAGTGGCTATTATCTCAGGGACACTGTAGTGCTTCACTTTTTTTTCCTCCCGAGTTTCAAATTGCTTATATATCTGTAGAACAGTTTGAAGTGGATAATGCTTAAGAGCTCTTGAAGCTTCAGAATTGTTGGGTCCCACAGTTGTATTCTACTGTGCTGGCAAAACACATCTCAGAATTTAGCAGCTTTTCACTCCATATGATTGTTGACACTGCTGCCTCCTGTCTTGACTGTCGTGGAAATTAAAGGTCACTCTTCTTTAATCCGCTACGTTTTTGTTCACCCTCGAACACACCCAGCTGGTTTTGGTGTATTATTGTTTATGATTTTTACACTCCATTCCAGTGTTTCTTGTGGCTTGCAGGTGCCAGACAGCAGAGAAAGACAACCTGAGAACAAAACAGGGAAGGAATTGACTTCCGTTTTTAATTGGTTCCTTGTGTTGTACTCCAAGGTCGTGGGAAATGTGGATCTGTGCATAGGTAGTGTAGGTTAAGCCTGATAGGTTTATAACTCGTAGATAGTGGATTTGTTAATAGTTACAATGGTTTTACAGTCTCACAGTCATGGATATCAGTACCTGTTTATACACTAGTTGATGGCGATATTGTGTCTCTGTGATTACTCTTGATAGAAGTTTATTCTTGCCTGTGAAGTTGCCTTTTACACTGATGTGGGTCCATTTAAAGTATATTTTAACTTAGCTAAATTTACATACAATTTGAGTTTTCAAATTCAGTGTCTTTATCGGGTTAGTGACATTTCAACTGCTTACAGGGTCGGAACACATTAAAATGTGCCTGTGATTCTAGAAACTTAACTCTCCCAGAGATTCTGTTGTTTCTTTTAGACTCTCCAGCACCACAGTAGAAAGTGATCTGTCTTTAAGGTTTTCATTATCTGACTAACAGAAGTCCCATTGCTAAACCCCTTCCCTTCTAGGGAAGCACAAACTTTGATCATCTTTAGAAAGTTTTAGTGAGTGAACAAGTTCATGCGTGCGCACGTCTGTCTATATGGACCACATGAATGCAGTTGTCCATAGTGATCCGAAGTGCATCAAATCTCACTAGATCTAGACTTATGGGCAGTTGTCAGCTGCCCAGTATAAATTTTGGGAGCCAAACCTGGGTGCACTGCAAATGTAGCAAGTACTGTCAACTGCTAAGCCATCTAATCAGCCCCTGGCTTTCTATTTTCCTGAGCATTGTTAAAACAGACTGCATATGTTTGCACTCAGTAGAGTGTACAGTGAGCACAGGCAGACAGTACCCTGGGAAGGTAGTGAATTCTTTGGTGCCAGCACCAAATCCAATCTGAACACCACATCTTCCCTACCATCCTTTGTTATCCTTTTGCTGGCCTAACCCTGTAGTAAGCCATGGACTTTCTAGGCATTAGCTGGAGCATATGAAGCCCTCTTCCTCCATCCCAACCACCATGTTGCTCACCTTCTGTCACTTAAATGGCTCTTAAGGGGCAAAGGCATCAATGGTAGAATTTGAGGGTAAACTGCTACCTCTCTGAAGAGGAGTAAGAAGGAAAAAGGACGAAATAAAGGCTCATTTTGAAGAGTAGTATATTGCAGTTTTCAATACGTGGATCATGTTAGCAGTACAAGCAAAGACTGTTGTTTCACGAGAATATATAGATGTTATAGCTGTCTACTGCCAGGGTATTTGGATTTGAAGGTAAAAATGGACCGTTAAGATCTAGGTGCCTTGAAGGTTTCAATTTCCATTTATTTGAGGGGGGAGATCTATATTCTCTGCAAATGTGAAGGGTTTCCTCACCAGAGCAACTGATAGTCAGTGGGAACCAGGCTAATTTTTATATATTGTTGGATTGAAGTATATTACCTCATAGAGAGGAGAGAGCTGGGATGAGAATTTCTCCCATGGTCCACTGTACGTGGTGTATTTGAGGAGCACCTTTCAGGTTTCTGCAGCTCCCATGCAAATCCTTGAAAAAAATATACATTTTAAATGTCATCGTGGCTTAGGAGAACAGGTCCAGAATATGAAGTCTTTGGATGGAGTGTGGAAATGAAGCTGAGGGAGAAAACACCTTTTTCATATATTGGATTGTTGTTTGCTTCTCTTCAGTGAGTTCTCACGGTTCTGTAAGGTGTGCCAATAAATGTAGGTGCAGGAATTATCACCACTGTATCAGCTACAATTGTCGTCAGCTTCCTTCTGTTATGCTTTTCTGGATGAGGGTGGTTTAAGACATTTTAAATGGGGACTAGAGGTTGTTAAGTGTTTCACAGAGAGAAAATCTTTCGGTATGAAATTTAGACTGCCTGGGTCATAAGGTACAGTTCCTGAGAACCACAGAAAATTATGACTGTCCCCTGTGTGCTCTTCTCTGTCATGTCCTCAGTTATCATCCATTAGCTCTCCCATGATGGATAGGATTGGTCTCCAGAACACACTTCTGAATGACAACATCTCTGGCCGAGAATCACGGCACTTACTGTGTGTGCACTGCAACCTATGCTTTGACTCTTGCTTTATGTATATTATCACATCTAATCCTACAAAGAGAATTTCAGTTTGGGGGCCTTCTCTATAGAGAAGAAATAATTAGCAGTTCTAAACCAGTGTGTGTATTTCACCAGTGTGAAAATTAGTGAAATATTGAAGTGATGGTTATTTCAAGTCAAATCATCTCAGCTACCAAGCCACAGTCTCAAGATGGAATGACTGCATCCGATGTGTATTTCTGTAGCACTTGGTTTTGTCTACACAGCTTTGAGTGCCCAACAAATCGCAGGCGCATAGGCACACAACCAGCCAGGAGCTATCTTGGATTTGTGAATGGAAAATACGTGCGCGCACGCACACACACACACACACACAAACACACACACACACACACACACGTGCCTTTTACAGAAAAACTCACATGGCTGATTGGCTTTATCTCTTGCTACTACTGCATCCTCTTCTTCCTGAGTCCTCCTGATTCTCACTGCATCCTACCCACAAAGCTCTCAGTGTCCCACCCCATGCTCAGCCATTGGTCACTGGTATCTTTATTGATAGATCAAAAACCAATTGGAGACAAGGACCTTCAACATCTGGACACACAGATTCAAAGCATTAGCACCAGTCTCCAACAGATTTCAACTATTTAATTCCTTTGTTGTCTGATAAGAAATTATTGAGATTAAGGAGCTATTATTTTAAAGGTATTTTGAAGATTTACTTACTCATATAAGTCAACACCAGAAGTGTTGTCTATCTATAGTTTTGTACTCCTTGCTGTACATTTCTGGCTTGTCACTTCAAGCATGTGTAGCTTGTTGAAGGAGAATACCTATGAGTCATATTTATCGATAATGTTAGTATAAAAGATGAATCTACTCAGTGGCTCTTACATAGCCACTGCCATCAACAGCCCTAGATTCCCACCCCATGCACAGCAGACTCAGCTCTACGGGGAATGAGGAAACACTATGGTGAGTGTTGGAGTGAGGTCATTAGAAGTTTTGCATTAATACTCTGAATGTTTTGGGGATTCCCAGAGAACCTGTGACTTTGTAGCAGAGAGGTATTCTTGATGCCCTGCTGCAGTGGGCAAAACTAAGGAGAGCTAATACTCAAATAATTAAAGGGAAGAGAGGAT